CTCCATGGAGCTGCTCTCCCGCAGACTCACGGGAGGAGAAGCCCAGGATGGTGCCAATGAGGGCTCCACGTGGCAGATCCACCAGCTCTTCCCTGCAGAAGAATGGAGGGACACGGTCCCTCTGGATCAGAGAGGAGCAGAGAGGTGTCCAACATGTGGCCAGGCAGGTGGTCGATGGAGAGCGGGTGTTGGGAAAGGCTGGTGTTTGCTCCAGAGACTAGGATGGGCAGCGAAACCACAAGGAACTAAAGGAGACAACAGAGGAAAGGAGAGGAAACAAAAGATGAGCTGATTCAGGCAAGGAGCAATTGTCAGACTGCTGGGAGGGGAGGCTGGAGCAGCCAGGAAGGCAGGAAGCCRTGGAAGAGGTACTGAAGGATCCATGGGAGAGGCACCGAACAAGGAATCCATGGAGGGGGTACCAAAGGATCCATGAGAGGGGCATGGAACACAGGATGCTTGGGAGAGGTACGGAACACAGGAGTCATGGAGGAGATACCAAAGGATCCGTGGGAGAGGAACCGAAACAGGATGCTCTCCTGCTCCTTGCTCTCCTGCTCCTTGCTCTGCTGCTCCTCAGCTCCATAACCACCCCAGCCCAGCGCCCTGCGGGACGAGGCTCAGCCGGAATGGGATCGTGTCCGGGCGGCGTTCTGCGTCTGCCAGGACGGAGAAATCTCCCGCTCTGCTTGTGCCCGGCCTGTCCCTGGGCACCGGGACGGATCTCCCTGCGCCCTCCCTTCAGACACCCTTACACATGGATCACATCCTCCGTCTCCTCCAGGCCGGACAGACCCGGTTCCCTCAGCCTGTTTTATCCCATTTGGTCGGGGGATCCCATCCCTTCCTGTTATTGATCCTCAGGGAGGGTCCCGTGGCCACGGAAACCTCTTCCCTGCAGATCTGCCAGCGCGCCGGGATGCGCCCGGGTGCCCCGTGCTCTGGGTGTCCCTGCTGGAGCAGGGGCTGCGCTGGGGGTCCCTGGGGGTCCCTTCCAACCTCAATGATCCTGTGCAACCGAAACCCCGTTGTCGACCCCGGCTCTTGGGTGTCGACACTGCCCTCGACACGGGCTCTCCGCGCCATCCCAAATGGGAGCCTCCAGCAAAGCCGCCCAGATGTGCCGGGGTGGCCACCGTGTCCCAAGGGCTGTCCCAGGGTGGCCGCGGTGTCCCTGGGGTGACAATGAGACACGAGGCCATGGGCCCACGCTGAGGGAAAAGGGGAGGCAGCGCCCGGGGACAGCAGGACATGGAAACCTGGGCTCTCCAGGGGCTGGCACAGGGGGACTGCAGGTCCCCGYCTCGGCCACCGCGCATCCAAGCGCTCCGTGACCGAGGACGGGGGCGTCACTCCGGGGCCGCAGCCCGGGGGCAGGTTGACGGGGCGGCTCCGGGGTCTCCTTCCCTGGAGATGTCCCAGCGCTCCTGGACCGATCCCGTGCACCGTGGACGCTGCTGGAGCAGGGCTTGGGCTCGCTCAGCATCCAAGGTCCCTCCCGACCCCAGACGTGGTCAGGTYGGTCCTGTGATGCCCGGGGGGCCGGCAAGGCCCTCAGAACCGGAGGTCCCGGTGGGATTGGGTGGTACCAGGCGCTGCCCGGAGCAGGAGCCGGGAACGGCAGGCGGTTCCTCCAGGAGCAGCACGGGAATGGGGATGGGGACGGGACCATGAGTCAGCAGCAGCTCCCGGCCTCTCCCTGCTCCCCGCCCAGTGACTCAGGTGGCTGCAACGCGGCTCCTGCTGGAGCTCGGGCACCCGGACAAGGGAGCTGGGGACAGCGCGGGTGGCCCGGCACCCGTGGGGCACTGCAGAACGGGCCTGTGCTCAGGGGGCACCAGGAGCGTCCACGGAGGCCACYGAGGAGGGTGGCCCCGGCGCTGGCCACCCAGGGCCTTGGAGAAGAAGCCAATGGGAGCTGCAGCTCTGGGGACATGTGGCCCTTCCAGCTGCTGGGGACAAGGCCCTGGGGACGTGTGGCCCGTCCGGTCCGGCTGCTGACACCACAGTGGCAGGCGCCTCCCCTGGGCACCCTGGAGCTCCAGCTGCGCCCGGTCCTGGTGTCACCACAGCCCCACATGGCACCTGAGCCCAGCTGCCACCCATCCCTGCATGGCACCCCATCCTTCTGTGTCACCCCATCCCTCCCTGCCACCCCATCCCTGCATGGCACCCCATCCTTCTGTGTCACCCCATCCCTCCCTGCCACCCCACCCCTGCCTATCACCCCATCCCTCCATGTCATCCCATTCCTGCATGTCACCCGATCCCTTCATGTCACCCTACCCCTCGCTATCACCCCATCCCTCCATGTCACCCCATTCCTGCATGTCTCCCTGTCCCTCCATCTCACCCCATCCATCCCTGTCACCCCATCCATCCATCTCACCCCATCCTTCTATATCACGCCATCCCTCCTTGTCTCCCTATCCCTCTTGTCACCCCATCCCTTCATGTCACAAGATCCCTCCATCTCATTCTGTCCATGTCACCCCATCCCTGCATGTCACCCCATCCCCACATCTCCCCATAGCTCCATGTCACCCCATCCCTCTATGTCACCTCATTCCTCCATCTCACCCTGTCCCTCCATGTCACCCCACCCCTCCATGTCACCCCATTGCCCTATGTTGCCCCCTCCACCCTTGGGTGCCACCCTTGGGTGCCACAAGGACACAGAGCAGGGCCACCACCCCGGGGGGCTGCCGGGCAGACCCATTTGGGACCCTCAGGGCCCCCAGACCAGCACCGGGGCGGCTCTTCTCCAGCCAGGCCACCACGGCAGGGACAGGGACGGTCCCTGCAAAGGCTCCTCCTCGGAGCCCCGGGAYGGCACCGCGCGGTCCTGCGTGCAGGGGCAAGCAAATGGCCTCATTAATTAATTAAGGGATAATCCCCGGGGCAGGGACAGGCGGCCAATGCCACTCCGCTAGCRCAGGAATGTTTAATCTCCCCCCAAAGCCGCTCGCTGCATCCCCGGCCACCGGGATTATTCCCGCCGGCCGCACCCGGAGCGTACTCCRCCCAGGAGAGCACCCGGCCCCAGTCCCTTGGCACGGCACAGGGAAGGTCCTGACGGGCCGGATCCTGCTGAAATGGGGGTGGAAAAGCCCTTGGAGCAGCAGCGAGGCCTAAGGAAAGGGCATCCCCTTGGCCCCAGTGCTGGAGCCGGGAGCCTCCCCAGCACCCCCATCCCGTCCCCTGCGCATCCCGCTTCCCATGCGGATGCAGCGCCCCACGCCCTGCATCCCGGCTCCGCTGCCCCGCCGTGCTGCATCCCGGAGGCTCCTGCGTGCCCCGCTCTGCCCACCGCGTGCCCTGCGCTGCATCCTGCGGCGCCGCACCTCGCACCCGCATCCCGCCTCTCCGCCCTGCACCCCCCGCCGCATCCTACCCTGCCTCCCGCATTCCCTGGGCTGCCTCCCGCATTCCCTGGGCTGCCTCCCGCATTCCCTGGGCTGCATCCGCGCCCTCCGCGCTGCCCGCCCCGCAGCCCACCCCCCGCAGCCCACCCCTGCGCTCCATCCCCCGCATCCCACCCCCCGTATCCCACATCCTGCACCGCCCGCCCTCTCCCCGCCCC